TTCAATATTTCATTCTTACAATGGGTCTCAGTTCTTTCTATACATTCTTAAGAATTCGATGAATAGGATGTGCTGCGTTATCTTCATCGATATAATCACAGTAATTAATGAATGGCGGTTGTTTAGGGGTGGCTATAGATTGCGTCCACACTATTTTGAATTTTGGCAAGGTCAAACTGATCGGATACATGATCGTATTGTATTTGAAAAAGGAGCTGATGAAACGGATGGTTGATTAAGCGTCTTTCACCGTGAAAATCACTCTCAAGGGATCCTTGTTAATCCAGCTGATTGTCGAATTCCTTCAAATATAGCTTTCACTGTAGATATAACCGTTAGTAGCTACTTAAATGTCACAAATTAATATAAACTTTGTAATTATAACGTATACTCCAACAAAAATTCCCTGAAAAAGTAATAATTGAAACTCTTTCGCTTCTCATAGTTAATGTTTGGAATTGATAGTTTTTACTTGGCCCAGTGACTATTCTTGTTCACTTTAATTTTTATTCGGAAATAGTAAATTTAACAAAATGAAACATTAACTAAATGTAGAATTTATAAAACACAGAGAAATCTCCTTTGGAATGAAATTCATTGCTTTCATATGTTATCCAGCTTTGATTTGTTGCTTCAATTTATTTTCTTAAAGTTTAGTCGCAAATGTTGAAATCTCAGAAAATGTTGTGGAATTTTAACATTTGTGATGAAACTCAAACGAAAAACGGTACGATTTTGACTTCATAAAAATTTCTTCCAGAGAAGTTTATGATTATTGTTGAAGTTTGTAATAGCTGATGAACGGTTGTTGTTATTGTTGTTGAGACTGTGAAAAGATGGGGTCTTTTTTGAATTGAATGGAATATGCCTAAGGAGTAAGTGTTGTTTGGAAGAATTTTGTGAAAACTCTTAAAATATGTAAAAGCAGAATTGTAATAGTGATTAATTATTCAAAACAAAATCCACGAAATTGTCTTATTTCTAATACTATCAACTTATGCTGCTATTTTCTCAACTTGCCCGAAATACCGTTAGATATCGTTATTATTTTGACTTCATCTATGAAAGTATTAAAAGATTTTAAAATTTATCCAAAAAATTTAAAAGTTTTATAAAAAACGTATGTAATCGGAATTCTGTTTGCAGAATTTGCAGAATACTTTTGGTGGTCCTTTCATTGATTGTCGTAAAAGATTCATTTGGAGTGGTAAGGCGACGTTATTTTCTTTCGTTTCGTTTTTGCAAACAAAGAGTTGCAGGAAATCAAGCAGCATGAAAAATCTGTTGAATTAACATCCGCGTGAAATGATTACACGTTTTACACGTCTTAATCACAGGCTTTAAATGCTGTAGCACATAATATTGGCTAATAAATCGTTTTGTTTATACTGACTTCTAAATGAAACGGAGTGGTTAATTAAACACCTTTCACCGTGAATCAGGATGACAGGGTGACAATTAATGAGGATGACAATATTGGTAAATTTGAATAAAATTTCATACTTTGACAAATGGATGGCTATTTGCAGAATATCCAAAAATCGTTCGAAAAATCGATAATTAATAGTGTTAAACATTGTCTGATCCAAAATTTACAAGTATTTTATTTTATCCTTTTTTTTCTTTCAGTTTAAATATTATAAGCAACTGTTGGGTATGCAAGAGGAGTTGCTACAGTTAAATTCGAATATACTTTACAATACCGAAATCGAGATTTTGTATTCATATGAT